TGTGTAAGTGATGCGTGATGTGTGATGCCTGTTTACTTCAATCCACTTGCATGTTTAACTGAAGCATGATGTGATGACTGTTTACTTGAATTCGTTTGTATGTACACGTATATTCGCGCATTATAATTACAAGTTAGATATGCGCCTTATCGTAGTAATGGCTGGCAATTGATCCTAGTGCAATCCCCTGAATGTTGGTGTTCTGTAAAAACTGTGGGTCGCTGATCCCCCCCCCCCCCCCCTCAAAAAATGAAAAATTGAGTAGAATCATCGGCAGGCAATTTTGAACTCAATTTTGCTATTCGGTTCCATAAAGGCATGTCGCCGAAGTATAAACGCATCTATATCCACATCCTCCTGCTTTTTCTCCGAGAGATAAGCCTATTACTACCGTCTTATCTATGTGAATAATGTTCCTCGCAAATGCACTTAACAACTTACGTGGCTTCACCTCTTTTAAGACCAAAATCGAGGACAGAACAAAATGCCAAGAGGCGAATGCAAACCAAACTATCGACACCACTATTGCGGGCGCTATATGGTTCGCGCCTCCTCTGCTGCTTTGGACTCTGAGGGTCATGGGTACTCCGCCAGGGTTGCATTGTAGGGCCAGCCAGCACCAGATCACTCCGACAAAGGCGTTCTCACTCGCAAGCCAAAGCAGGGGTGCACACGAAACGACTGGTAAATTGCACGTCATAGCACGGGGTAGGGACGGAGAGACACCCGTTAACATCGGGTTACGAGGACTAAAGCTTCCTCGAGGACCAAAGAGAGTAATCTTAAGCAGAAGCACAGGTAAGGGGGGAGGGGCACAGAGGGCACGCACCCCACACCCGCGCTACGTCCCGAGGGGCCCTTTGGGCCCCTCGGGACCTACGATAAATGACCAGATTAATTGGGTGCCCGAATGACTGGAAAAGCCGGCGGTAAGTGGTATTCAGAGGCCCCAGCTCGCAGGGCCGGTCACCTCGATGTTATCCGGAGGGTCCTGCGCCCTAATCAGGGGCCCTGAGACGATGAGGGCCTATATGTCGGGCAGACACCACCAGTTACGCACAGACTGCTCCGTGGCGGCATGGGCCTGAGAGCGCATATCCCAAGCAGGGACAAAGCAGGAGCCAGCGAGCCAACGATTCACGTTGGTCGGGGTCCATAGCAACTTACAGTGGCCCTGTACTGGTAGAGTGTCTCGAGTCGGCTCGAAGCAGTACCAACGATCAATGGCTCGATTGGACGGTCTTAACGCACGAAGGGCTGGTCACAGTCTTGTTAAGGGACCCGAGTCTGCGGGAACGGGTCCTCAGATGACAGCCAATGGGCCCTTTGTGCCGGTCGGGCACTCACTGAGTCAATGTGGACCTATACGCTGGTCGGGCGCCACCCATACCGCGCAGTCGACTCCGTGTCTGTATGTGTCTGAGGGTCCACTTTTCAATCAGCTACAGGAGCCAGTGATTGACACTGGTCGAGGCTCTGTGTCTGTCAGGGGCTATGGCGCCTAACACACGGTCCTGTGGTCACAAGAGGCTCCGAGCCGACCAAGAGCAGTAGTCAATGAGGCCCGAAAATCTGCCCTGACGGGCCAATGGAGTCGATGACCAAAGGCCCGGTTGAAGGGCATAAGAGCCCGAATGACTGGCTGTAGGTCACACAAAGGTGAGGGCCCCTGAGACAATATGGGTGTCTAAGTCGGCCAGACATCACGAACATTGAACAGTTGGCTTCCTGTCAGTCAGAACTGTGGGGCCATTTCCCAAGCAGGAGCAAGGCCGCGGGCCACGATTTGCGTTGCTCTGGGTCCCCGCAGAGACAGTGCCTGGGGTCTCTGTGTCGGTCTGGGGCCCACAGTACATAACAGGGGCTCATGTGTTGGCTAGTGGCCCCTATTCGGTCACGGGCTTTTTGAGGAGGTCCAAAGAGGGGCTAGGGGCGCTTCGGGACCAACGACCAAGGTCCGGATTGAACTCGGACCCGGCTCCCACCCGGAGTGCCGTAACCCGAAATTTCGCTCAGAGGGCGTCTATAAGGGCCCTTTCATAAGGGTCTTCTACTCCCATTATAAAGGCCTCTGTACGGAGCCAAACAGTTGGACCCATGTCCGTCTGAGCACTTTAAACACATTCATCAGCAGGGACGAGGCCGGGCCCGCGATTTGCATTGGTCGGAGCCCCTGCAACATTGTGGTGCTCCTGCACCGGCCAGGGGCCTACAGTGCCTAACAGGGCATTTTGATTCAACAAGGGCCTCGAGGCGGTTGGGGGAATTTGCTCGGCAGGAACGGGGACGGGACCCCGAGCGACAGAGGGCCTCTTGCATTGGTCAGGACCCTCTGGTAATGAAAGGGAGAACGAAAACTTATGATGATATTTCACAGTGATACAATGGAAAGATCCTGTGCCAGTCAGTGCCCCAAGTACTGAACGGTGGGCCCTCCAACCCATTTCCAGCATGGGTCCATTAAGCCGAACTGGAGACTAAATGCCAGTTATTGGACCACTTACAACGATCAGGGATGTTGTTGCGTCAATGAGGGTTCTTGCGTTGATCCAGGGATAACTTCGCGGCCCAGAAGGCCTCTCGCGTTAGGGAGGGAGCTAATGTGATATTATATATATATATTATATATATATATATATATATATATATATATATATATATATATATATAGCTCTCTCTCTCTCTCTCTCTCTCTCTCTCTCTCTCTCTCTCTCTCTCTCTCTCTCTCTCTCTCTCTCTCTCTCGCTCTCTCTCTCTCTCTCTCTCTCTCCTCTCTCTCTCTCTCTCTCTCTCTCTCTCTCTCTCTCTCTCTCCTCTCTCTCTCTCTCTCTCTCTCTCTCTCTCTCTCTCTCTCGCTCTTCTCTCTCCTCTATCTCTCTCTCTCTCTCTCTCTCTCTCTCTCTCTCTCTCTCTCTCTCTCTCTCTCTCTTCTCTCTCTCTCTTCTCTCTCTCCTCTCTCTCTATCTCTCTCTTTCTCTTCTCTCTCTCTCTCTCTCTCTCTCTCTTCTCTCTCTCTCTCTCTCTCTCTCTCTCTCTCTCTCTCTCTCTCTCTCTCTCTCTCTCTCTCTCTCTCTCCTCTCTCTCCTCTCTCCTCTCTCTCTCTCTCTCTCCTCTCTCTCCTCTCTCTCTCTCTCTCTCTCTCTCTCTCTCTCTCTCTCTCTCTCTATCTCTCTCTCTCTCTCTCTCTCTCCTCTCTCTTCTCTCTCCTCTCTCTCTCTCTCTCTCTCTCTCTCTCTCTCTCTCTCTCTTCTCTAAGGGCCTCCGGATTGACTAGGAGGTCACGCCCCGTGCCGTCAGAGTGGCAGCCGGGAGATACCTCGCGTTGGAACGGAATGGCTCTTTAGTCCTTGACCGGGAGCAATGATCTGCTCCCTAATGCTCTACTCGAAAGAGCACCTTTCCCGTACAGAAATAAGGGGTATCATTAATGTTAAATTAAGTGGATCGAAATGAGTTTAAAAACAAACGAGGCCATCCCATGTTTGTCTGGTAGCTTTTAGTCTTTCGGAAAACCGACTAGAGAAACAAATTACATCAAAAGGTTTGAGCTTGTGTGCCCGCAACCTCGGTAGCAAGGACAGTGATGGCCTGGGCTACAGTTTCTGTAAACCCGAACGGCGTTGGCCACCGCAAGCAACAACAGGTGGCGGGCCCCGCGCGCGCGGGAACAACCGTCGTAAAATCATGGCTCCGTATGTCTTTCAAAACTAGCTCGCACCATTAAAGACGAGACTGGATGCATTTTTTTTACAACTTTGAGGCTGCACGCTGGACAGACAGCATTTACAACAACGCAATAAACAGACGTTTTACTCTTACTCATCCAGTTCCGCCATCAGGTTCCAGCACTATTTCGAGTAAAAGTCAGTCCGTTCCTATCATCGATCTAAAAACCGCACAGGTGAAATATACCGCCGCTGACTAACTTCTAAACCTACAATTATATGTCCTTAAGCGTTCAACGATAGTTGTTTCAAGATATGTTATCATTCTCGTCCATCTGTTGGCCACGGCTCAGTGTTAGCGGCGGGGCCGACGACGCGGGGCCTAAGGAGACTGCAACGTCTGGCGTCGAGGTTTTTGTTGCAACTTTTATTACGAACATTTGCGAGCGCGCATGCCCGAAATTACGTTACATAATTTGTATAACCAATCAATCTGCAATGCAACTTGAACATTTCTGTGCAAACATGGCTTAGCCATGTCAATACAACTTGCTGGCCAATTTCGATGCACATTTGCTGGGTCCACAATATCTCCGCACAGCCAAGACAAATGTTCTGACAGATATTTTGATTGTTCTTGGTTTAGAAAGAGCCCATTAGACCAAAGCAAACTGAAGAGCGCCGTTTATTTACTTCATGCAATCGTTAAACGCATGATTTTTTCAGTTTATTGACCGTTGAATTCAGGTCAAATTTGTCTCGCGGTAGCTTCTGGCTTCTGTTCCAGGGAAGAAATGTAAAAATAAAGAATATCAGAGAAAAGGTGTCCTTCATTAGCAGGTGGGGCAACAGATATTGGAACAGGTATCAGACAACATGTAACAAGCTCACTTATTGTTATCACCTGGGCATTAGTATATTTTTAAGTAAGAAAACATTGCTTTAGACAACACATTCTCTCTGTTAAGTGAATACGCTATTCGAAACGTCATTGTCTGATCACGTCATCGTATCTTGCACAACATTGATGAGGAGCCAATTGACGGCCGTTGTATCTGGAAATCGTGCTCACAATCACCAGATATGAATGACTCGACCAGTACATTTTTCTTGTGCTTGATCACCGCATGGCTTATGGAATTCCAAGTTTTGGATGATGTTTTTATGGTGAAATGAATGTCCAGGTGACCTTGAAATACTCTGCCCGAAATAATCTCCCCGTCCTCGCGGGGGTGTAGCTCAGAAACTAGTGGGTTCTAGGTCTCGAGATGACAGGGCTGTGAAACTGCATCACATAGTCTTCAAGATGACTATTTCAGTTAAAACCCCATAGAAATGTGTCCGCACTGCCTGCGGTTTCTCCCCTACCACCACGAGAAGTTTATCAAACTGCGTGCTTCAGGTGGAACAGGTGGAACTTTGGCAAGGCAATACAGCTGCATTACAGTAAACATCAGCTGACGTCCAGCTGAGAAATGAGGGGAAGCTCTTACCTTGTAGCTGTCGGTCACAGGCTGGCCTTTCTCACCACGCATGACCTGACATGACCTCGTCCTCACGCATTGACCAATGGGAACATGAGTCCTGCGTCCCAGAGACGTCATGTACCTTCGTGCTGAAGAGGGACGCTATCGCATTGCTGACTGCGCCATGTTATCCCACAAGAGCGCCATAAGCGAAGACAGCCATTATCCGCAATGCCGATGGCATGTTTCGCAGCGACTGTGCGTAGGGGAGTGCGAGGCCCGGTTTACCGGTGGATGCTGGCGTTACAACACAGCTACATAGCCGGGTAAAGTTTGTACAACATTGGTGTAACAGAACTGCTAACTGAAGATGCATCTGCGTCCCCATCATTTAAGAAGATATGCTTTAGGTGCAAGGTGCTGCGCAGAAAATTAGCCCCGGAATGCTATTCGTATAGTCATCTTGGGCAAATTTTCCTTTCTGGCACAGCGACTTTTGATGTTGTCACTGGAAAAAACTCCAGAACAAATCATATATTTCAGTAAGGTTATCACAGTCATATGACATAAACACTGCATAATGGTCTGTCAAGCTGGTGACTTCTCTGTCTTGTGTTACATAATTTATGTGAATCCCCCACTGATGCCACATAACTCCATGCATCAGAGTGGTTATACTGAACTGAACTCGGAAGGTGACATGTGTATGTGTTTGTGTGTGCAGGGCAACTGCAATAAAATGCTGTCGGCATTGAGGCTGTTGCCAAGGCAACCAGCTCTCCTGCGGCAATGGAACTGGGCTTGCCAGACTGCCAGGCTTATTCACAAGGTAACAGATCATGTGTTTTTAAAGGGAGCTTCTCACATTTATATAGGGCTCTAACCAGAATAGCCATTTTGAAGACCTTTTGGTGCTGTCCACAACTGTCCACACAACTGTTGTTCTTGATACCCAAGCCTCTCTAGTTTTTTAGCTACTTACTACTCCTGAAAATGAGAAAGGCAGGGAGGTATATTGGAGAGAGTGTTTTGAAAACATCCTAGCATCTATGACATGGCAGTCATGCCATTCAATTCCTGCCATTCCATAAGCCATGTAACAAGTGAGGCCAAGGAAAATATAGCTGTCCTGCCTGTATTTGGATATGCCCCTGGGCTGGTCTGACCATCAAAAGGGTTTAGACAGGTTGCAAGGCTGCAACTAGCTGGTAACCAGTTTGGCTTAGCTGAGCATGTGAAGTGTTGTCATACAATCCAAGGCCAAGAAAAATACAGCCATCCTGTCTGACTTTGGATGTGCCCCTGGGCTGGTCTGACCATCAAAAGTGTTTAGATAGGTTGCAAGGCTGCAGCTGGTACTCAGTTTGGCTAAGCTGAGCATGTGAAGTGTTGTCATACAATCATACAATGGTATATCATTAGGTGTCTCTCCACTGTGACAGTGCTCAACCCTGGGCCCAAGATCCAAAACCCTCATCCCCTACCTTAATTCATCCTGCATCTGGGACACCCTGCTTGCTGGGGGCAGGCTGCATGCATCAGCCAGGAGTGGGCTGAGAGATCTGCTGAGAGGGGGGACCTGTACAGGGTACTCAGCGCACATGTGCAGGCTAAATCTCGGTGGTTGGGTCCCCAGACACATGCAAGCCTGCCCTACTGTCAGACACTTTCCTTCATCCGATTGCTCTGAAATGATCATTTCTGGTCGAAAGGGCTTTAATCCGAAGAACCAAACAACCAAGTGCTCAACCCAGCCATGCTTCATGCTGGGCTGTTAAGACACCGTCCCCTGCTGACAGCCTGAAGACGAACAGGCCCTCAACCCGCCACCGCCGGTGGCCGCCGCGCTGCCCCAGCAGCCGGAGCCGACGCTGCAGCAGGCGGCAGAGACGGCGTTCCGTGCAGTGCGCCGTCAGTTCCGCGAGTGCCGGACGGTGGAGGAGCTGCTGACCGTGGGCGGCCGGCGGCAGCTGAGCCGAACCGAGTCGCTGCTGTGGCTGATCTCATTGGCGGAGCTAGCAACCACGCAGGCCGTGCCGCCGGATGCTTTCACTGCGCACCCCTGGTCAGTTTCCCTGGTCATTCTGTCGTTGCACCCCTGGTCGTTCTGTCACTGCACACCCCTGGTCAGTCCAGCACTGTGGTCCCCCTGATCAGTCTGTCACTGTACACCCCTGGTCAGTCTCCTTGGTTGCTCTGTCACTGCACACCCCTCGTCAGTTTCCTTGGCCAGTCTGTCACTGCGCACCCCTGGTCAGTTTCCGTGGTCAGTCCGTCGCTGTGCATCCCTGGTCAGTTTCCGTGGTCAGTCTGTCACTGTGCACCCCTGGTCAGTTTCCTTGGTCAGTCCGTCGCTGTGCACCCCTGGTCAGTTTCCGTGGTCAGTCCGTCGCTGTGCATCCCTGGTCAGTTTCCGTGGTCAGTCCGTCGCTGTGCACCCCTGGTCAGTTTCCGTGGTCAGTCCGTCGCTGTGCAGGCCGCTCCGCGGCCGCTGGCAGCGGCGCTGAGCGGATGCGTCAAGGACATCGTATATGCAGAGCATTGGTCTTCCGGTCGTCAAGTTTTGGTTTTTTACTCGTGTCGGGGCCATTTTGTCTCGCCGTTGCAACTGACCTGGCTGGTTGTGAGCCCAGTCACCACCGCAGCCAAAGTGACCGGGTGGTTCAGAAAGATTGTCGGTTGTGAGCCCAGCCACTACCGCAGCCGAAGTGACTGGGTGGTTCAGAAAGATAGTCGGCCTGAATTCGTCTGGAACAGGAAAGGCGTGATTCCGGAAAGAGGTTATGCGTAAACATGCGACGTTTTTGTCCTGTTCCCCCCTTCCATGCCTTGTGATTTTATTGCTATGTTGGGTTTGGCTTCTATCCCTTAACTGTGAACGCAGTGCCACCGAATAAAGGTGAAAGGAATGTTTTGTAACCTCTTCCCCACCCTGCCCACTTTTACATAAGCTCTGGATGTCCCTAATGCGGCTTCCAACATTAGTAAGGCAACGGATATGGTGCGGCTTGTACACTTTTTGCTGCGCTGACAGCGCCATGGCACCATGACCGAAAGTTATCGTGTAACACTGGTACATGCTACCAGTTATGAGGAGGCGAGTGACTGACAGTGTCCGCCATGCGTCCAGTTACCAGGAGATGGGGCGCCAAATGACTAGCGGCCCTCAAAGCTCGGCGCCTCATCAGCTGTTGGCGCCGGCACGCGCCCTCCTGCGGCTGGGCGTGTCGCCCGCCGATCCCATACTCGCCCTGCTCGTCAACGACCTCATCTGGAGCCTGCGCAAGATGACCATGCGTCAGCTGGTGCAGGTGGGCCACAGCGAGCGCGTCGTGGCGATGTAGCGTGGAGCAGGCCTGGTGGAGCGTCGTCGCAGCAGGTGGAGCGTCGTCTTCGCCCCCCCCCCCCCCCCCCCGTTTACGTGTGGCCGGGGTAGGAGGAGAGCCGGTTGTGGGGGAAAAGAACCGGGCTCGGGGACCCGGTCGTGGGGAGGGGGGGGGGTCTGGAAAGAGCCAGAGTCGGGGGAGGGGGAGCCGGGGTTATCATGTCGCCCGTGATGCTGTGAAAGCTGCTACACTGACAGAGTCACGGCACTGACAAGCCACTTCACCTCCAGGGCTGCTACACTGACTGAGCCGCTACACTGACAGAGCCGCCACACTGACAGCGCCGCCACACGGACAGAGCCACCGCAGTGGCAGAGTCGCCGCAGAGACACCACACGGACAGAACCACCACACTGACAGAGCCGCCACACTGACAGAGCCGCCATACTGGCAGAGCCGCTACACTGACAGAGCCGCCACACTGACAGAGCCACCACACTGACAGACCTGCCACACGGACAGAGCCGCCACACTGACAGAGCCGCTACACGGACAGAGCCGCCACACTGACAGAGCCGCCACACTGACGGGGCCGCCATACTGGCGGTGCCACCACACTGACGCCTGACAGAGTCGCCACACTGGCAGAGTCGCCACACGGACAGACTCGTGACGCCGGGAGAGCGGCCGTGACTTTGGGCCAGTACCGTGGCGCTGTCAAAGCATTGACCCTGTACGGAAGTCATGATTCCGTATCATATTCGTTGTCCCGTGTCAGGACTGCGACACTTTCAGAGCCATGAGCCTGTTGTGCTGTTGTAATTACGCATAAATCCCAACAATATCAGTGGCGTGCCTCCCTGTCCAGCTCACTCTGCTCTCTCAACTCCTTGCTCTCGGTGCTGCAGGCGTTCTCGCTGGCACGCAGCCAGTTGGCCACCGGTGACAGCCGGCTGCAGCAGCTGCACAAGCTCAGCATGGAGATGATTCAGCTGCGCTGGGTGGAGATCACCGAGCCGCAGGACATCTTGCCCATACTGAAGCACAGGTGAGTGGAGACCGAGATCCTAGTCAAGTTTAGTCAATAATCCCCCAATTATATACATATATTTATATATATATATATATATATATATATATATATATATATGCAGGTATGTATGTATACATTTATTTGTCCATATATTTTTGGATATCTGGCTTTTGACCACATAAAAGAAAATGGATATGGGAATGATTCGCAAAATTTCGCGTGTCGTTTGTAGCCCGTTTTAGCCAGTCGAAACTCTGCTGGCAAAAACTTTCGGCCGGTTGCTACCTTCCTTGATCTGAGGGCGGCCTGCGTGTGTGTGTCTGAGGACGAGCCGTGTATTTTCCCGCGGGCGGGCCGTGTCTGCCTGATGGCGGGATGTCTGTTCGTCCTCGGACCGGGGGTGCACGCTTGTCTGAGGGCGTGGGGGGGGGGGAGGGCATGCTCGAGCAGTGACGAGCGGCGATTGTGCGCGCGGCCGACAGTGAAGTGTTCCCGGCCGAGTTTGTGCGCCGGCTGGAGGACCGGGCGCTGGACGCGGCCGGCCGCGTGTCGGCGGGCGAGGCGGCGCTGCTGCTCAACCAGCTGGCGCGGCTGGGCCGGCGGCCGCTACCGCTGCTGCGCGCGCTCAGCTTCCACGCGGCCCGCCAGCACGAGCCGGCGTCCGTGCGCGACTGCGTCCGTACACTGTTCGCCCTGCAGAAGCTCAGCTTCCCCGATCAGGTGAGACCGCCAGATGCCCCAGAGAACACCAGGTGAGACGCCAGCTGCCCCAGAGAACACCAGGTGAGACCGCCAGCTGCCCCAGAGACCACCAGGTGGGGCCGACAGCTGCCCCAGAGACCAGGCGAGGCCGCCATCTAACCCAGGGACCAGGTGAGACCGGTAGCTGCCCCAGGGACCACCAGGTGGGACCGCCAGCTGCCCCAGAAACGAGGCGAGACCGCCAGCTGCCGCCAGTCAACTACCCCGGGACGCTCCGGCTTACCGTTCCGCGGCAGCGGCTGCTGGCGTGGTCGCCGCCGACATGTCACACACCCGGTAATGCCCAACCCAACGTTTTCTCGTTTTCCACCCCTCGTACGTGCCCTGTTGGATTGTGCGCGGGGCGGTCAACCCGTGTCCAGCGAGGGTAAGCGGCGACCGCCGCCCGTACCTCCCACGGGAACACGTAGTAGTCGTGCCGCGGGCCCTCTGGCGGCAGCGGCGGCGGCGGTGTTGGCTGGGCGCGATGACAGCACGCACCGGCGCCTCTTGCGGCGCGCCACCCGTCCCGGTGCCCGTGCCGTCTGACTTCTCCCCAGTGCGACGGTGGAGACTTGTGACCGGCGATGTCTCCGGTTCCGCAGGTGCTGCTGGAAAAGGTGGGCCGCGACCTGGTGACCCAGACGCCGGCCGTGGAGGAGGCCAGTCTGCTGGGGTCGGCCCTCACCGCCGCCGGCATGCTGCACTGGCGACACCTCGGTCAGTGGCTCCCGCCCCTCCCCTGGCTGCCTACCGACGGCAGCTGGTGGCTCGTTACTGCGGGCTGATTGCGGTGGCAGCCCTCGCTGCGGCGTCGCGCCCCTGCTCGGTCGTCGTCGGCGCTGACGAAGCCACGTCTGGCCTGTTGCAGAGTTTCTGGAGGCGGCTGCCGTCTGGTATGAGAAGCATGCCGACAGCGTGCGACCGCACGACGTCATCTCCCTGATCATCACGCTGGCAACGGTCAACTTTTGTCCGTCCAACGCGGACGCCCTGCTGCCGGTGCGTAGTCGGTGGGGCCAAACCTGGCGTGTGGGGCAGACCGGGCCTGGACCTGGCGTGTGGGACACACTGGGCCTGGACCTGGCGTGTGGGACAGACCGGGCCGGGCCTGGCGTGTGGGACAGACTGGGCCTGGACCTGGCGTGTGGGACAGACTGGGCCTGGACCTGGCGTGTAGGACAGGCTGGGCCCGGACCTGGTGTTTGGGGCCGGTGAATTGTTTGTGTTCCATCATGATGGCACTGCGAAGCCTCCACAAAAACTAGCGGTCACTGAACCCCTACCGCTAGTTGCACGAGCTCCGGAGCCGGTGTGCTCTTGCCGAAGGTTTGCGAAGACGGGAGACAGTGCCGCTACCGCTGCCAAGGGCAGCGTCACATGAACGGGCCCCAGCCCATGTGCTGCTCGTGCGCCGCGCGCGTAAGTGTAGGCTCTGTCCTCTATCCAGTGGCCTGCGCGCGGCGGGTGCGTGCAGTACGGGTCTGCACAAAACTTGCAACCAAATTACCAACGTTAGAAGGCACATTTCTCATTTTTGCGTTGAAATAGTGAACGGTGACGCGGGAGCAATGTAGAAGGGAAGAGGTTTGTGTTGAAGAGACGCGATAGGCGTGTCCTTGGCCCTCCATGTGATGAGAAAGACAGGATAAGGAACCTGCGACAATTGCCATGCCATTCGCCGTCGTACATGGGCGCGGCCATATTGTTTCTGCGCGTGTTGCGGTTGTTCCTGGCATGCAGGTACCTCAGCGTAGCCTGAAACCTCTCGCCGTTTCTCCACCAATCAGCATTTGCTTGCGCGCGCGACGCTCGCAGCACGTGAACAGGGCTCGGATGGGGAAAACATGCAGCAATAGCCAGAGACCCCAACTTTTGGCCTTTGGACCTTGTTTTCGTGCCGGTACCCTGGGTCAAAAATGTCTGAATCTGTATGGTCTTAGATTAAAATTGTGTTTACCGTCCCAGAAATCCTCGGCCGACTTCAAGTCGCAGCGGCGCTGCAAACATTTCCTAGTTAACTTTTGTGTGCTGCACCAATCGGTGCACCACTCGTTTTAATGCCACTTTTTCTGCGTGTTGGTTTGAATACTTATGCTGGGCTCGCTCATGTACGAGGAAAGTTATCCTTCGCAAAGCATAGATTGACATTTTATTAGCCTTGCGAGTTAGCGCACTGGGTGCCATGTTGGTCTCCTTAACTGGCTGTGTGCGGTGCATAATATGCGAGAATATCGACTTTATTTTTGCTGTAGGACCAAAAAATGTAAACAACCTATATATAATAATAATATTGATTAACATGTAAGATTGAGTCATGTCACTTCTTCAGCTTGCAGTAACGTCGTTTTAGACAGCTACGACCAGTGGCGTGGCTAAAGGGGAACTGCTGAGTCCGTGTCCCCTCCCCCTCCCCCTACTGAAGGTGAGGGCCTCCTGGAAGCGAGGCTCCGGTGGTACCTTCGGCGTATAAGACGCTTGAAATAGTTCGAAGGAAAAAGCGGAAAAACAGGACCTGAAAGCATAGAAATAGGAACGCGAGCATAGAAGAGTCGCCTCAACTAAAAGCAGGGCCGTTCGGGACGCAAGCAGTGCTCCCTTAGCCGATAGTCCTCTCCTCCTCCCCGTGATCCCGTCAGGTTCCTTCTGGGTCACATCGTGGCTACGCTTCTGCCTGCGACGACCTAAAAGCGTATGGTGCCGTTGTAGGGCTCTTGCTGATCACGATCATATGAACTGCTGCTCATGAGGCTCACATGATCATGAACATATGATCCTATGTTCATATGATCATGAGGTTCATATGATGTGATTTATGTATCAGCTGCTCATAAATTCTGGTCCCAGTAATCTCCCCAAACTCTTCAGCGGAAACCTTGGGTCCCATCGCGGTTTCCAGTTTCTCTGTGTTTCTGGCGGTCGAAACGGAAAAATGCCGTCGCATGGTGGAACAATCTAGGGGTCCCGTCACATGAGGTCCATTCTTGATGGTGTTTTTTTTTTGTGAGGCGTGACCTGAATCGGAATGGACTTAAGAGCTTCGCTCCTTTGGCTTCCTTTGAGGTAAATGTGCAACATGTGGGCTGGCCTTACTAAATTTATGTTGTGTTCTTTTGTTTATTGGGCAAGATTTATGGCCTGCTTCATTTGAGACACAATAGCGTTTGCTGAAGGTTAACATGATGCATTTATGTTGAATGGGAGACCGAAATGACAAAGACTACAGAGTTGAGAGCCCGAAATCATCCGTTAAGGGTGTGATTCTATACCCCGGACATATAACTTTAAGACTTTTGGGACCAACCTCGGGCGTGTGATTTTCTGCGTACCGATTTGCAGGGCGTTGGTGAAATGCATAAATGTGATGCGGATCTTGATGTGGTAGGCGGTGACTGAATTGTAGAAGCACCACTGTGCCGTTGTCGCGCACGTCACTGTATTCGGCGACGGAAGAGAAAATGTGGCAGTAGTTGCCCTTTGTTTTCGTCAGTCAACAACCGGAGCCCCCGTGTGGTGCGACACAAGGGTAATCACCCGCAACTCAGGACTCGGGCTTTCAACCGGCTGGTTGCGGCCGAGTGGCCGGGACTAGCACTGCCGCGTTTGTCGTGCTGGCCCGGTTAGAAACTTCGATGCCGACATCGAGGTGATGCCGCCCCGGGCTGACAGACAGGGAAGCGCGTCCAGAGAGGGACGGATTACGAAGGGAAAGAACACTGCGCTGTCAGGGTGCACAAAAAGCGTATTAGCGATATGGCTCGGTTCGACTACGACGCTTGACAGTAGCAAGCATCTGCCAAGTTCCGGCAGTCAATATGCCAATAGCGGCCAAACAATGGTCATGCTGTCAACCGTTCTGTGGTAGGCACATCACTAATATCATTACCTAACATTAACAGAGCAGCGAAGCTATGGGGACGCACACAGTTCTCACCCGACGCACAATGCCACACACACAACAGCACTCGTTGGCGCCACCTATTGGTGACCCACACGACTAGGTTTTGACCCCGTGCCGCTACACCTGATTGCCGCAGAGCAGTTACTCGTTATGCTTTAACGGCCCTCGCCTATTGGCTTACGTAACAAAAAAGTCCAGATGTAGCTGTACCCCGTCCTTACGGAGGACAAAGGGCGCAGCCAGGATTCGGGACGGGATGGGCTACCATGAGTTGTGATGGGAGGTGGGCTAATTTTTTTATGGGTGGTTCCCAGTCCCATTGAATTTGCCTAAAGCCTACGCACTGCGAACTGAATAACAGGCCCCACAAACTAATAGGTGCAATGCCTAGCGCATCATTGACGGATTGATGCTGGTTTGCCCCAATTCTTTAAACAGTTGCCTCAGATGCTGAGCATGCATGTCCGCCGGGTTATCCGCTGACGCCGTCATGAAAGTTATGGCTGACAATAGACGTGCCTCTGCTTATAATAGTTTATCAGATCTAAGGCCAGAATCGTTTTTCTGGTCACCAGATGTGGAATTCTATTTAGGAGGGTCGTGGTGAAGAAGCTGCGCTCAAACCTGACGGGAGGAGGGGCTGGGTGCTAGAGGCCCCTTGAGTCCTCCCCCCCCCCCCCCCCTCCGTTTGGCAGTGTCATTGCGGATAACCCTTGTTAATGGATAGAATGATTTTTTATGGTCCTCGTCCTGTATTAGCATGTCCGCAAAATTTCGGCCAGTTAACTCTCCGGTCTTCGTCAGATGACAAAAAGCCCATGGAAGGACTGGCTGATATATAGCTTTCAGCCATTTACGCGTCACAACCCGAATTCTCTCCTTGGAGCTGCTGCGGTTCGAACCAGAGTTTTCTCATTATGAGTCCAGGGTCCCGCCAGCTGAGCTTAATGGGAAGGACAGGTTCTTGCTGTTCTTCCCATTCCCCCAACGCCGATTAGCTCAATTGGTAGCCTTGGCCTGGTGACCCTTTTGACCTTGGCATTAACGTATTGCGCGTGTGGCGTTGACCGTGGCTGGCAGCTTTGCCCCGTCGCTGCAGGAGAAACAGTCGTGTCTGTTCGCAGCGGAGGGTCCCGGCCCAGTGTTAGGCGCTGACGTGCATTGCTCCGGTGCATCTCCGTCGCTGTCGCCCAAAGGAGTAGGAACGCCTCAGACAGCGGGGTGAGAGGAAAGGAATGCTAGTTTTGTAGCTGGTAGATTGCTCTTTTCCTGCGTTGTCTTAACGTTTAAGTTTAAATTTTCAAAAAGTGGAGACGCCCCGTTGTCCCCTCCCCCTCGTTCTTACGCCCATGCAGTGCCCTGTCCTTAGTTGTGGTCGGGCGCGGACCGCACACAGAAGTGATGCCAGATTCAAGCTATTTCAAAATGTTGCCCAAACTGGCATCGATTTGCATGCTCACTTCGATCGGTACCCGGCGGATTTTGTCCACAACAAACAGCTGACCGATTTATGAAGTCCGCGATATGGGGTCGCCGCGTAACATTTTCTTTCCATGACTAGCCAGCAGATTCTTTCAGTTGTCCATTCATCCCACCGATGATGGGCGGCCTGATGGGAGAGACCAATAGCGCAGTGATATCCCAGTCCGACTGATGACGCGCTGCCCCTCGGACGCTCCGATGCCAACCGAGCGTCGCGTGACCAAACACGGAAATGGCACCGCTGACAGCGCCATCTGTGAAACTTTCCAGTCCACCGGTGCCAGACCGATCGCGGTGCCTGAGCCGTGCCGCCCTCCCGGGCATGTGAGCGAGTGACGCCAGCACGTCCAAATATGCCGCGATCTGCTGGGAGAATGCTGCTCATTGAACGGTGGCGACGGGAAGGCGGGCGGGTGGGGGAGCCTCATTGATCGGTTGGCTCGGGCCAAACAAGGGAGCGGAGAGGAAGGCTGGAACGAACCTAGTCAAGACGGCTGGTGACTCACGGGGTTGTTGATCCCTGCTTTGTAGTGTCCGCTAGCATCATCTTTCAAGTTAAGAGACATTGGTGTGGCCAAATAACACTCGTGGTCCGCTCCTTCATTTCATAAATTTGCTGGGGATTATATATATATATATATATATATATATATATATATATATATGCGCGCGCGCGCGTGTGTGTGTGTGTGTGTGTGTGTGTGCGTGTGTGTGTGTGCGTGTGTGTGTGTGTGTGTGTGTGTGTGCGTGTGTGTGTGTGTGTGCGCGCGTGCGTGCGTGCGTGCGTGTGCGTGCGTGCGTGCGTGCGTGCGTGCGTGTGTGTGTGTGCGTGCGTGCGTGATGGCCGGTGCGCGTGCTGATCTGGGTGCGGGCCGGCCGGCAGACGCTGCTGGCGCGGTGCCGGCGGGACGAGCTGCCGTCGCCGCGCGTCTGGCTCGACCTCGTCTGGGCGTTGGCCGTGCTGGGGCGCGCCAGCGACGAGCAGCTGCGCTCGGTGTTGGAGCCCGACTGGTGCCGCCGGCTGCTGGCCGACGGCGAGGCGCCGGCGCTCGGCGCCCGGCTCAAGCTGCTGAATCTGGCCGCCTACGCCCGACTGCGCCACGGCCATCCAGGTGAGGGGACAGAGGGGCAGCGAGCGGCGCCGGACGGGCCGAGGAGGGCGCTCCGGTCGGCGGCGCCATTTCGTTGACCCAGCCTGCCATCACTGGGAGTTTAGCGTCCCCCTCCCACTTCCCTCCACCACTGCCCGCCCACCAACGACTTCAGGAACAACTTATGGTCCATATAGGGTGGGTTAACTAGAGTTTGCGTACCTGACGAAAAATTATTTCGGTGTATGCTAGAGGAAGATTGGTTTGATGTCAGATGGGATCGCTGAGCTTTGACGTCACTGATGGAGGATAACGCGGCGGTTTTTTTTCTTGACCAGGTGCAGTAACGCGTTGTTTCCGTTCCTCCTTTGGACTGTCCTCATGTCATTTATAAAATGGCGGACCGTCTGACAGTCGGGGTCGGTCACATGATACAGGCTGTCCACAAATGAAATGTGCTGTTACTGTGTACTAAAGTAAGTGTACACTCACTGTAAGTAGCTGAACTCTTACCTAACATGTGACTTTTCTTAATGACTTATTCAACATCAGACAACTAACTTTCGAATAACAATAAAAGAGGGCTAGAGATGCCAAATTCACTTCACAGGTAGACCACTATTTGAACACATGTATGTACATGTTTTAAGTCTTTAGGTCGTAACCTTCGGGTCCGATAAGGTAAATTGGAAAAAATGGGCCAGGTAAATTGGAGAAAGGTGTTCACAGTGCCCTCAGACATCAAACAACCACTTTAGGCCCAGACGTCTGTCTAAGCAAAATAAAACTCGCGGTCATAGTGAGGCACTCCTCTTATGTAATCTTGAGGTCAAAAAGACTGCCCACGTTTCAGTCATTTAATCGGCACAAAAACATCTTAGGCGGCATGTTCGTCAAAACAAAACGTGCCGCAGGTCTGGAGTCGGTGCCTGGGCCCCCAGTGATTAGTCCGCCCGCGTTCCGCAGGTCTGGAGTCAGTACTTGGGCTCCGTGTGATCAGTCCGCCCGTGTTCCGCAGGTCTGGAGTCGGTGCCGGGGCTCGGCGCGGCGGGAGAGGCCGCACCGGTCCTGTCTCGTGAGGCTGACGCCCTGCGGCGGGACGTTCTGGAGGCGCTGGCCAACCTGCTGCCGCCGCCTAGCCACTTGCATGTGGGCCCGCAGACGACGGCCGGCTGCCGCGTCGACGCCGAGTTCGCCATCGGCGACGACGGCTCGCCGGTGCCGTGCGCGCCGTACGGCAGCGCGCTCCCCGGCGCCGCGTCGCCGCCCGGCCCGCTGCCGCCGCACGTGCACAGGTGACCGCGGCGCCGAGGTCGGGGCCGCCTGGGCCGCCGTCCCCAGCGCTGCTGGGACGAGGCACTGGTCTTGTTCGGTGACATTAACGAACGGCACTCGCATGGCTGCGCAGTGCCGAAGATGACTGCTGGAGGGCGCGCAGTCCGTCATTGCTGTCTATCTGTCGACGCCGGTACTGGCCAAGGTCGCCAGCACCGGCATCCCCTGTGGAAACGGGGTCCACCGGCGCAGTGTGAGATGCGGCGTGTTTGTTCACCCCGTCATGAGGAGGTACGAGGTGAGCCAACTCCCCGGTGTTGCAGGGTGGCCCTCTGCACCTGGACGTACCGGGACTTCACGCTGGACTCTATGGAGCTGACCGGCTACAACAAGATAGGCGTGGACTTACTCGAGCTCAGTGGCTACAAGGTCCTGGAGGTGTCGCACACAGAGTTCAAGACGCAGGACACTGTGTTGCAAAAAGTGAAGTTCTTGCGGCAAAAGATCCGTGATTTAGTCGCGAGGTAGCCCCGCTGGGCTCTAGGAATGAGTCGTGAGCGTGCGTTGTGAGTGCTCTCTGTCTGCGACTGTGGCGACGCGGGAAGGCTCGGCCCCATCACGCGGTGGTCGCCGCAGCCAGTGGTCTTATCCTCCCCCCCCCCCCCCCCCCCCCCCCCCCCACTGAGTCGAGCGCTGCCCCCTCCCCGCGAGACGGTCCACTGACAACCGCAGGCCAGCGGCTAAAGCGCCACGTGTTGCAGGCTGATGTGCGGACAGTAAATCTGAGCATGATGGTTGTCTGCTGTCTGTGACTGCTCGCACGCTGGCTGTAAACATGAGGATCGCGTACAAGAACCGAAGCGTTTCGTTGTGAGCAGGGTATTTGCGAGAATCTGTGAGAAGCTTGTTTGTGACGGCATCATTTCATCAGGGGTCACACTCGGTTGAGAGTTCTGACGATTCCGTCCTATCTTTTCCTTTCTTCCATCGTTGTGTTGGTCTGCTTCGTCGCTAAGCTTCACATGAACGTCGAGGCAGTGGGAGCATCTATTGCGCACCCACATCACAACTGTCAAGAAATTCCATTGAGGTATTACGTGGCCCCGACCGGACGCATCCGCTGTAGGGTCTGCGAGACACCATTATATCGCCTGTACCACGCACAACGCGCTTTGCACGGTACCACCTGGCAGACCAGAACACTTGGACGGCATAGCGAGTGAATTGGCAATGCGGGAAAGAAATGGTAGGCGAAGAAATGTCACGAGTTCGGAGAAAAGCATCGGCTTTTAGGTCCATTAGCCAAGCCTCGCACAGAAGCCTTGCCCCGCGCCACCTGCTGACAGATGGGCTGATTGGTTTCCATTTGTGGGCAAGTCCATTTGTCCAGTCCACTGTTTTCCCATTTCCTGACAGGCAAGAACTCCGCCCGAAGTAGTCCGCGACGCAACCTGACCTAATGTGCGACAGCTGCTGGACTGAGGATACATTGCCGAAAGTTATGTTGCGAAGTATCGCGAGCATGAGGCAAAACAAGAGGCCGACACAAGCAGTGTGACAAATGGGACAACGGAAAATGAAATGGAAAATGACGGAATGTTTGTCAATGCACAATGACGGAATGAAGTGCCCACAAGATCAAACTTGAAAAGGGTGATTGAACATCGAAATACCGACGGGGTACGCGTCTAGACAGGCTATGGTATTTTCGACGTCTGGGGGAAGGGCGTGGTGCACAACTTAAAAGAAGTGTTCCACATTCGTGTGGGTTTTTGAACTGAAAGGCATCTTGAACATCATCGGGTGCGGTTCACAGCAACGCCCGCCTGAAGATCTGAACCCCTCTATTTTCTGAGCTGCACGCTCGCGCAATTTGCTCTTCCGGGCAGACTTTCAATGTCGCCCAGGCATTCATGACGCCCTTCAAATCACGCCGTTCCGTTAACCATGCGGCGATCAAGGCCAAGAAAAAACAGAATCGTCGAGCCGTTCATATCTGGCCGTCGTGAGCACAATTTCCAGCTGTAGCGATCATCAACTGGCCCTATCAATGCTGCGCAAGGTACGGTGACAGACGAATGATGACGTACTGGGGAGCTGATTTACCAGGGCAGTTGTGTTGTCCAGAGCAGTCCCTTCCGCTTAAAAGCGCTCCGATAGCTATAAGTGAACCTGTCATGTCTGATGCTTGCTTCAATATCTTCAAGTGTGTAATATTCCCTTTAAGATCAGCCAGTGGGTTGCGCATTTGCTATTGATCACAACAAAAGTTCATCGATCTATTGTTCTCCATTTTGACATTAACCGGCACACGTCATGCCCGCAAGGTTTAAATTTTCTGCTCGACCAGTCGCTTTGGGCGTTCATACAAATCACGCCTCACTGTTCATTCTTTCGGATATCTCGCCGTCTTTTTTAAATAAATTTCCATTTCGGCAGTTGCCTTACCGATATTTGCCAGGTCCTGCACTAAGCATAAGAGACCTGTCGCTACGTAACCGGTATATATTTACCACCACTCACGTTATACATTATCCCCATACAAAAACCACCATTCGATATTTCCGACCGCAAAAGTAGCCTCGTCACTGTTCAGCTGTGTAATTCACTCATTGGTTCGATTCATATACCAAGGCGAAGCAGCGTCTTATGTCGTCTGGTGGCTCGTTCCCGGTGACCATAAAATGGCCCTTGTCTGCCTATCACGGAGGAGACGGGAACGGTACTGAATGAGGCACGTTGCCGCCCGATGCTGGGCGCCCAGACATGACTGGCACGGACCCACCACCATTTAACGGGCGGCTGACGGCGCCAGGCGTTTACAAACGCTCCCTCGCTCCGCCCGCACCGCAGCAGGCGTGGTGACTTACACCACCTCGCTCTGCCTGCGGTGCCGCTGGTCTGGCCGCATCCACTATGGCATGGGTTTCGTACCTGTGTGTTGCGGCGACGAACGTATGTTTGGCTGTTCGTGTGTCTGTGTATGTGTGTGCGCGCCCCAGAACGTCGCAGAGAAGCAGACAACATGTAAGGATCATTTATTATTCAATGAACGACAGCGAACGGGTGGTCATCTCACCCGAAAGCAAAGCTCAGTGGTGTCGCTAGCACACCGGGTAATTCCGTCATGAAGGAGTCCACATGCAACGGTGGACACATAAGGGAAGTACATACGAGATTACTTGTATTGCACCTCGACGATTAGCGAGAAAAGCTACGCGCGACTCCGCGCCTGAAAAGCTCGGGATGCCCTGACGGCCTCTGTCAGCTGCGGTCCAGCTACAGACTCCAGCCGTGACACGAACACAGTCCGCCCCCGCCGAAGAGGGGGCGGCGCGCTGCTGACGCAGTACCCTGTGGCACACAACCAGACGACACGGCTACCGACACAGACCGACACACACAAACACACAAACGCCAACACACACCGGCACACTCCTGAAACTGCGTCCGCGGACTGGCGGTCGCCCGCGCTCGGAACGGACAGGAAGTATTGTGTATTTCATGGAGGCGCCCGGAAACGGACAGGGGATGGGCCCACGGCCGGGCTCGTCTCTGAAGCTGAGCGCCGCCGCTGACGGTCGGCCCGCCTCGGCGCCCATGCTCGCTGGTGCGCCGCCGACTGCAGACGGGGACGACTGTCGGCGCGCGCCTCATCCGGCTTCAGGAGAGCACGCGGAGCGGCGGACCCAGCGGCGCCCCGCGGCTCACTCGGACTCCTCGGCCGAGTCGGCCTTCTTCGGCGCTTTCTTGGGCGGACGCCCGCGGGGCTGTGGCAGCACGGCATTCCGCAGCTAAAGCGTGTGGATAGGTCTGGTTCAATGTATCCCCGGTCTCCATTTTCGGGCAAACACAACGACCAAGGGCGTCCGTGCGTCTACCCTGAAGAGGCGAGCACTCCCTTCAAAGCACGCTGCCCGTGTAAGAAGCCCGCCCAGAAATCCACGAGAGCCCAAAGACGAGTCAGACGTCTTGACATGTATTACGCCCTGGCTGGGAGAAGGCGGCAATGGCCCCGGATAAGCCAGAAATAAACTCCGTCCGCGGCAGCGTCCCACGAGAAAAACCCTACTACAGCTGGCCAATGGACGGTTCCAAGAAGACCCGGCGCCGAACATTACCGGGAGCAAGACTCAGACTGGGTCGTCGCTACACATCGGATTTCAGGACGAATTTGTTGGGTACGGGCCTAGCGCAACCAGCTCACGCTGGAACGCATCGGGGCACGCACACTTATGGAGCTCTACAGTGATGCCCCAGAGACAACACGGAAGGTAAAAAGCAAATACTTCAATACACATGGCTTTTCATCACGCCACGGAGAGATCGTAGGATGAGAATGTAAAGGTCCAATGTGCATCGTAACCTTTGGTTTCCAAATGGCGTGCCCAGACGTGTCCCTGTGCCCGGGGGGGGGGGGGGGGGGGGCAAGTGAAAGCCGAGTTTTTACAATATTTGTCCCATTCATTGACATTTTTAATGACGTCGTGTGATGGTGGTTTGGCGTTTTAGAGCGCGTCGGCATTTGGGTCATTTTGAGCTCACAATGTTTTACGATGGGTGGCACGGGAGAAAATGATGTTATCGGTTGGCACCGTCGGCTGTAACGACCGATGTCCAACACCGATGTCATACGCTCTAAATGATGCGGTCCAATGCTTTGAATGCATGGTCCAAGGAGCCCATGAGGTCCCCGAGATGTCCCTGCGCATGTGCGGGGCACTCACTACAGGCCGCAAATTCAGAGAAAATCGGAAAGGGACGCTGCCTGTGTGAATACCGCCAAGTTCATACTGAACTGGAAAGGTGATCGCCATCGCACACAAACCCCTTCAAGATCTGTGCTGATTTCGAGTATGGTTCAGTCATTGCCTGCATCCAAAATGCGGGCTTCACTCGGCCCACAAAGTTTCAGACAGTACCACTTATGCTCTTGAGATCTGTTCCTCTCAAAGAACACAGATCGCAGTTCATCTATCGGTGTGGTTTGGCATACACAAGATGTCGTGTGGGAAGCTGGCAGCTGCACCGTCTTGCCCCAGCTCCAGGGCTGCTCCAGCACTGGCCGCCGATACCGAACAAGTAAAAAAAGTAACTTTCCAGCTATATCACATCATAGTGTTGATGAAACATTGATGATTGAGTGTACTCAGAGAGAATATTTTTCGTGACTGAATAAAGATCCATTACTCATAGCTCAACAATCCCTTGGTGACCGGCCTAAGATCTTGGTTACTCCTTCCCATCCCACACCCACTCCTGGTTCCTGCAATCGCAAATGCTAACCTTGGCTGCTTTCTTGGCTGGTCCACCCACTTTACGGGGTCGACCCCTTTTCTTGGCAGGAGCAGGCTGTTGAGCACCCTCCTCCCCATCCGCCGCTCCCGAGTCAGCCATCTTGCGCTTCTCGGGTACCTTCGCGGCCACCTATTGGGGCAACATCACCGATAACAGCAGTAATGTGTCAGTAGGTATGTGCTGATCAGGGGTCATGTAATGCTGATAAATGGATGGATAGTCAGGTGTGGCAGTGGCTACACCAACTTCACTACCTATACACAATTGACCTGATTGGTGCATATGTTCATCAGGTCTGCAAAAACAAACTTCCAATGAACAGCCTTTTAGCTCAGGGGGGGGGGGGGGAGCATAATGCCCATGTTCTCCCCTGGCTACCTGACTCGAGTCATGAAGTATAAACATTTCATGTTTAAGTATTCAGGCTGGGCACAACATTGAAGTGCCCATTTTGCATGCAATGAGTAAGGTTTAGGAGGTGAGGTGAGGACTTAATACCTTATCACTTTTGGGTGGTCTGCCACGTCTCTTCTTCACAACCACATCATTGTTATCTTGAGCTGTTGCTTCTTCGGGCATCTGCAAAAATGTTGTGATGCTGTTATGTAATACAGATGTCATGAGTGGCAGAAAATCCTCAAAATAATTGTGGTGTATTGGGATTGTGCTTTCTTCCAAGGCATGAATATGAACATTATGAAAGCAGTTGTTGGTTGCATGTAGTGTAATCAAGTATCAAATGGAGAAGAAATTGAAGAATGGAATGTATTGCATGTGCATTCATTAAGCAATGGTACAGACAACCAAAGTATGACAACAGTGCAAAATGGAGGAAAGCTTCAGTAAGCTGAAGTGAGCCACTAGTGGAGGAACATTGCAGAGGGAAGCTGTAGGGATGAAAACATGAGATGTTGGTGACATGTCTGTGGTTAAGTGACTTCAAAATAGTGGTGTTATGAGCATGAAAAAACATGATGTGTACATTATGTGCCACAATCATCTATATGACATACAGCATGCTTTACTTCCCATGTCAACATGACACAGGCAAGTATGTGGAAACCATGCTCCAGTGGGGAGGATAAACTCTACAATGCCAAAATGGCCCTTCTCCAGATTGTAAAGTGGGCCCCCTATAAGCAGGAATGAATCTTGCATAGAACGGCATTAGCCTTATAGAAGCCAGCTTTCACTTTTTGCAGTCCAGAATGGAAACGCTTCAGTGAATAATGGGTGCTCTACAAACCAAAAAGGGCTGTCCAAGTCCATAATGGGCCCTCTTCACGTCAGAATGGCCCAATATGGTGCAGAATGGGTCCTCTGCAGAGCAAAATAGGCCCTCCACAGTTAATAATGGGCTCTCTCAAGTCAGATTAGCCCACTAGGCACCACAAGTCTGCATGGGACTCGTCTGCATGCTAGAATGGGTCTTCTTTAGTCAATAATATGCCCTCTACATGTCAGGATGGGATGGGCCCTCTAGAGGTCAGAATGAATCTTCATTAAGCCAGAATAACCTCCCAGTGGATCAGAATGGGCTTTCTACAGGTCAGAATGGGCCCTTGGCAGAGCTTTCAAGTCAATAATGGGCCCTCCACTGGTTAGACCTGTAGAATGATATCAATTACAGGACCCTTACTTAATAAAAAGCCTTCTACAGGCTTGAATGAGCCCTCTGCAGTCCAGGATGAGCCCTCTGCAAAACAAAAATGGCCCTCTAGTCAATACTAGATCCTCCACAGGTCATAACAGGCCCTCTACAAACCAAAATGGGCTCTCCACAGGCCAGAATCAGCCTTCTACATGCCAGCATGGGCCCTAAACAGTAAATAATGGACTGAATACAGATCAGAATAGGTCTCTTCAGGCTAGATGGGCCCTTCAGTCCATCAAGGGCCTGCTACTGGTCAGACCAGGACCCTGTGCAAGCTTAGAATTACCCTATTTTGGTCAGAATCAACCTTAATAGACCAGAATCAACCTGCAACTTGTCAGGATAGACTGTAAGAGGCTTGCATTTACATTGCATGTAGAGTTACAGGTTAACACTTTTCAAGTTCAGAATGGGCCCTCAACAGGCCCTCCAAGTTGAGGGGTGGTGCCACCCCCATCAGCTTTCAATTTGGGGTGAGCATCGCTCACTGCTGCCCCCCCCCCCCCCCCTCCCGGTTTCTGTCCTTGCACATAGGTAAGGAAAAGCAAGCCTGCTCTTCCATTTAATCAATACCACGCTGGAGGAACAGACGGTGATCGTCCAAAGAGGCTTCACACTTTTCACAAGGAATGTTAACATACACTTTATGTCCACCGGAGTGTACATTTGGCTCCAATAGGAGCCCTGAGCCCCTTGTTTGGCAATACCAGTGGCAAATTGCCGGGGCAGCAAATGCCCTGTATAAGGCCCGTGCGCGCAGGTAGATGAGAAAGACGCATGGGATGCCTACCCTGTAATGTGAACGTTGATAACCCCAACGTAGAGGGAACAGTGGGGCAGACGTTCCCACAAAACGTCGCACCACCACCACCCAGGTATAAGGGGGAAAACCGCCTCAGGTGCCCACCGCGGCGACTTTGCAAACCACCTTGCGCGCGCATGGCAAAACGGGCATCCTATTACCCGGTTACCAAAAATAAGCTAAAATAACCAAAAATAAACACTTACTACCAAATTTTATCCATCACCATCAAAGTGAACACGACACCACCGATTGGGTCATTGTGACCAGCATGCTTGTGTTCGTCACCGGTATAAGGAAACTGTGAACAGCAATGTCTGTTTAAATTACCAAATATACGAGGGAAATGACTGGTGTCAGCTTGAGAGAGCGAGGGGGCTGGGCCTGGGGATGGGGCTTGACATAATGTGGCCAGGGGCGGCGGATTTGGGGAGGGCAGGTAGCTACTCTCTGCCGGAGCCAGGCAACATTTACACGCGCCCGGTTGGCCGGTTGGATACCCTTCGCTCCGGTGGGGGGGGGGGGATCAATTTGACCGCCTCCCAAGATCTCAGGAACTAAGAGAGCTAGAGACACCAAATTTACGGGGTGTATTGGCCCGTACGTGTATTGGCCCGTACGTGAATTCACTAAGGTAGAAGTTTCAGGTTCCTAGGTCATGACGTTCGGGTCAAATAAGGTCGAACAAGGTCAAACTGAAGGCTGGTCTCCAGAGAGCCCCCAAAACTAGATACCTGTTCTAAGCAAAAGGTAGCATGCTCATTTAAGGTCGGTGACACTGTTTGACCTTTTTGAAGATCGTGATGACCAAACTCATACAAGACTGCTTTGACTTTTGTGTTTGAATAGGCGACGAAGATAGCGCTTAGTGTAGTTCCTAAAATTTAATGTTAACCTGGGTCATTTCAGGTCAGTGCCCTAGCCCAAGCTTAACGAAGTCCATGGAAGATGCATAATGCAGTTCCTGTTATTAATAAATTTGAAATGAGCACCGGAAACTATCCCATGCACCAAGCCCTGGAGAAATAAAGCAGGTTGGTTTTGACTTTGGTATGACTTTCATACTTGACCCTAGGTTAATGAAATTTGTTTATTCAATTTTTGTGTTGCCTAAGAAAGTATCTCCGACATGTATGGCTTTGTCTAACACTCCGTTGCTGCATCAGTTTGAACGATTCCCTAGAAATTAACTTTGCTGAATTCGTAGCCTGACCTTGACCTGCCGTAGGTCAGGGACCTTACAGGGCACATCTAGATGTCTGATGTCAAACGATCCGCTGCTCAATTGTCTACCGCTATGGAAGTTCGGCGCGGCCGTGCAGCGCCGTTCTGAAACTATTCCGGAAAACCTTCGTGGGGGGGGGGGGGGTCAAACTGAAACCACCCGAGCGTGTGTTAACATGATCAGCAGCTGGGGCGGGGCGGAAACGCACGGCGTAGGAGAGTACCGGACAGATGACAGCAGGATGGGACGGGACCAGAAATAATGGCACAAGGCATGGGAGCAAATGATAGCAGGGGGCAGGAGACGACAGAAAGACAGGGCTGAGGGCAGGGCTGAGGGCTTAGATGGGTGGGGCTGGATGAGTTAAGGAGGAGTTTGTCGCATGAGATAAATTCTAGGTACACACCACAGGTTCTAGAGATTTTAAACAAATCAGGATTGAGACAACAGAGCGGAGGACAGAACACCACAGCACAGCACAGCACATAATGTGGCAGAGCTAAGCGGAATTATTCAAAACAAAACAAGGTTTACCTGAAAGACCATTTCAAAAGATGTTTCCTTCAGTCCTAACGCAATTGCACGCAAGGAACTGTCTGCTGCACGTCTTGCATGCCTTTGCTTGGCTTAACGAAGTTTGCGTACCATGCCATCCGAGCTACTGCTCATTTTGAGGTGAATGCAGTGCATACATGGCGCGCGGTGCCGCCGCGGGCCACATATATCCGCCGAGGGCCACATGCTCTTTTCGATGTGCAAGTACGGTTTTTCTTTGATAGGTTTGACCCGGGTGCTCGTTCCGGACATGCGCATCACGACGAACAATAGCCCTTTAAAAACACCGACCCTGTCAGCTGTCCGGGGGGCATCGACACGGACGCCGGAATGGGAGACCATCACCGCGTGGTGGTTTCCCATTACCTGGCCTGGCACGTCGGCGGCCGGGCCCTCGGCGCCCACACCTCCGCAAAATGTGAGTCCGGCGGAGGTGCAGGCACCGAGGCTTCGGCGATCCTCTGAGATCCTCGATCCTTTCTCCTTCTTTTGAAACAATTAAGAAGGCGCGTTCTGTAGATATTTTTGCGATTACGCGCTAGCACATTAATTCTGATCTGTCAGCTGTCGTGCATTCGTTTTGTGCTTACGTCGCATCACAGTAATTACCATATCTAATGTGCAAATCTGCCGCTTATGTGTGTTGTTATACCTTGCCTGGTATTTCTCTATGCGTTTCAATGAACAGTCTAGGAAAATAGCAGGTCAGTGAATAACGTGCAGCCTGAACTTTGCGTCATGAGAGAGGACGCGTCGTGGTCAGGTCCATGCGTTTGGCATTAATGTGTCCATCTCGCGTAGTTCAGATATTACACACAGCTTGGAGCGACTGCGAATCTTCCACGACTGCAATCGAAGGATGTTTGTCACGACTGGCAAAATATCTCACAGATGTTTTACGTAGTGACTCCTCGCGGGGAGCGATGAAGAAGCCGCGATGCCCGCCCTTTCCGCCAGAGTGAGAGGCAGGCGACGCCATATAGCCTCAGTAGCTGAGTGCGTCGTAAGGCCTCAATATACCGTTGATAGATTTGCGACTCGCGGAACGCGGGACCCGGTTTTCAACTGTTTTCAACTTGCGACTTCTTGCGACTCCCAAAAGGTGGAAGCCGGAGAACGGCCCTGGGCTGGCGGAAAGGTTGGTTGACTTTTTCCGTCGGTGGATTTACATGCGGCCATATAAGGGGTTTGCTAAGATGACTATAAGTGACTGACCCATAGCAGCGGCGGCGAATTCGGTCACTGGGGGACCGTTGCTTCATTACGGCGACTCCAGAAGGCGAGGCTCGCACACAATCCGATGAGGGACTCCGACGACGAGACATCTTTATGCCTGTGTTGTTTACTAACATGATGCAGGATTCAGGCTCAACTTGTGTCAGGCCAGGACATAGCTCTAACCTAGTCACAAATCAGGACCAGTGGGAGCCAAATCAGAAACGCGACCTTCATCAGACTTGCGAGTAACTGAACACAATTTGCTCAATGTGCCCAGCACCTTGTGACCGTTTGAGCAATTCATACGGGCTTGAAAGACGACACCGCGCGGGCGGCGCACGCGCGGCGGCATTTGTCGATGTGTGCGAGCGTCCTGGCGCGTGAGTTCAGTATTCCGCGCGCAGGCGAGAAACCCTCTAGTCCTCGTGGCACCTCAATCTCCCAAGAGGTGGTCGTGGCAGAGCTGAAAGCGTTTGCTAAGCCAAGTATCGTTATCTGCTCGTGTTTTGGCCCTTTCTCGTGGTGTTCTTCAGTATTCGTCCGTAAGAACACCTGACTAACTCGCGTCACCAAATTCTGCCGTTGGCCTGGGATCGCATGATCGGATAGCGGGGCCAGGTCTCACACAATGCGTACAGCATAGTGGGCCGATTCCAGAAATTCATCCATAAAAATAATAACGTTCTGTCATCAAAGTCACTACTTTAAGAGCTTCAAATTCCACGCAAGCGAGGCTACTGGTCATTCAATGGTCAGAACCGCGAGGCCACTCGTTTCATGCATTGCCATGTGTCGCAATGCATTGCCATGTATCTCAATGCATTCTCACGTATCTCAATGTATTCTCACGTATCTCAATGTATTCTCAGGTATGGCGCAGACGAGCGCGCGTGCCATCCAGCCGCACGCGCCATTCTTCAGCCAGCCCGCACCCTGTCGTCGCACGTGGCGCCCAGCTGTCCCGTGCGCCGGCCGCGTGCCAGGCGCGGCGCCACCGACGCGGCGCTGGACACGTGGTGGGTCCGCCGCGGCTCAGACGGCCGCCGCCGCCGGCTCCGCCTCTGTCTGCCCGCCGGGTGCCAGAGCGCCAGCCGTGTTCTAGGGGACAGAGGCGGCACGTGAGGCAGGACGCGGCGTAGCACGTGTGGAATTCTGGGCTTCGATAGTGAACCCCGTACATTATCAGGATATTGCTGAAGTGTTTTGGTGATGCTACAGTGAACGGCGGAATTAAAGAGCGTGGGGCAGCTTTTAATTCCTAAGTGTGGAAGTTTCGTACATGCGGGCAACAAACACCACAAAACAACATAAATTGAATTATTTCAACGAGTACAGTGTATAACACTGTATATGTGTATATATGTATATTAACATATATACTGTATATATGTATGTAACACTGCATATATGTATGTATATAACAACCCGGAAGAATTCGTCACTAATTGCACAATAAGTGTTGAACAAAACAAAAAATGACAAGAAGGCGCGCACGCGGCCTCGTCTCCCGCCGCGCGCAAAAATCGCTGCAAAAGCTCACCAATCCAGACCACCTCTAAGTCTGCAGCCTCTATGGAGACAGCAACGACAAAGACCACAGAAAAGACGAAGAACATTGGGGACAGCAAACACACATCAGCTCGGTCATCGCCTCCACGGCGTCCGCGAACTCACCAGTTGCCGCGCCCTCTCCTCCAGCAGGCCGAAGGCGAAGTGGTTCAGCAATAGGCCGTTTGGCAGCGCCACGCCTTGGAACCTGCGCCCGGGGAAGAAGATGTCGACATCAGACCAGCAGGACACGCCACAGGGGCGGTCAAGTCACAAGCTCAACAGCGCACAACGCGACGGGCAAGTGACTGATGCGCTCCAAATTGTGAAGGTATCTCTTTTCAAAGAGAATACATTGCAATTGATTGGAAGCTATGGTAAGATGCGTCAGTGTGCAGCTATTTTACAAACCGAGAAGTGGCCAATCCAATCCAGATTGTTCAGTCCAGTAAGCGCAGAGCAGTTGTAACACAAGTAGCCGACTCAGGCGTCTGGCAACCGGCACACCTGCTGACGCTGAGTGACCCACACGTCGCCCTTTACCGACACGCACGACATCCCCGTTGACCCA